GGGGGGGGGGGGGGAGGACTACCAGGCCGAGGCTGACCGGTGACAGACTCCCACTGCGCGGAAAGGAAGGGGTCGTTTCCCGCTGGCACTCTGCCCGTGGCCAGGATGCGCAGGTACACGACGAACTGGGCCGGCGTCAGACGGCAAGCACTGCAGCAGCCCTCCGCAAAGTTGCTGAAGAAGGCGGCGAGGGCGGGGCCCAGGTCCCCCACCTGGCTCATGTAAAGCGGGAGACGGTCCCTCAAAGTCAGCATCCTAGGGGGGGGCGGGGGGCAGTTATCACTCAGGAAACGAGGCACGGTCACATGACAAAAGCAGCGGCAGCAAAAGCTGGGGGGGGGGGGACTTACTGTGTCTTGTTAGCACTTCTCACGACCCGGAGGTAGCGCGTGAGCTCCCTGTACCTGCGGGAAGGAGCGCGTCTTAGCACAATCCTGCCACTAGGGGGAGCGAGACAAAGTATGTCCAGCTCACTTGCTCTGTTCCCTCAGCTTGTCCACCCGTGCTTGGATCACCGGCACGGTCTCCAGCAGAACCTCCCTCTTCCCTTTCAGGTGTCGCTCGCCCGTGATGTTCTGGCCTCTCAGGACCGCCACCAACAGAGGGTTATCCCATGGGAGCACATTTACGCTGCAGGAGAAGTGCAGGACATGCTGTGACATAACACCCGGGAAAAGGCCACTCCCCCTCCCCCTCCCCGACCCCACAATGGCGTCTCACCTGTTGACCAGCCATCGGCATTTCACAGGCACAGGGAGAGACAAGATGAAGTCCTGCAGCTTCTTGGAGAAAGAGCTGTTGAAGTCGCCGGTAACCAGCAGGGTGCTCAGCATGTTGGTTATCCTGCGACGTTGGTTTTCACACACAAACGTCACTCGGCGATCCGCCCTTCCCACACAGTCAGCATGCATTTTTCGTAGCTTTCACTCGGCCGTTTACGTGCCCATTCATGTCACCCAAGCGTATTTAGCTTTAAGGCTGCAGAAAATTGATTTTACTAAAACCATGAACCGTGTGATCAATTGGCTGGATCAAAACAGCCTTTAAAAAGGAAGGTGCAAATGTGTTACTTAAAAAAAAAAAAACATTAAAAGGTGTTAAGCCAGTCAAAACAAAAACGCTAAAAACAATATGGAGAATCTCCATTTAAAGTGACGAAGTGGCGTAGAAACATCCACACACATAGTATGTACACATGAGTCTGCACACACAACCATGCATGGATAGCACATGGTAAGATGAGGTACAAAGTATGTTTGACACACAAACGTTAACATTGCTAGGTGGTGATGCTACAATATGCAATTTACCCAACAAACCAACGCTACTGACTAATCAATGACAAAAATAGTTGACAAGCTTTATTATCCATTATTGCTGATCGTTATATACTTGTTGCAGCCCTATTCAGTTTCACTGCAAACCTCAGAATTTCACACACAAACATAGATTTTCTCACGAAGAACACAGACACGACACAAACCTCAGGTAGAATATACCCGCCCAAAGAAATGCTCACCTTACTAACAACAATGGGGCAGCATCTGGGACAGAGCTTTTGGGGTCACCGAGAGTCATCACCCTGCAAGACGACACCCCCCCCCCCAGCTGATGAAACCTGACATCCTTCTAGGTCAAATCACACATTTTCACGATGACCTTAATAATATAATAGTAATAATAAACAAGCTGAAGTTCAAGTGACAAACGGCAGATGGATGAGCCAGAAAATCACAAGCAGAGCGACACGCCTCTAACGAGCAGAGATCTACACCCCCCCCCCCCCCCCCCCGCCAAGGAAAACAAGCGGGGGCAGCTACCCCGGCGGCTGGGCATGTCCGATGAAGAGTTTGGTGGCTCCCAGCAGCATGACAGCAGCCGTCCGCGGCCGCTCTCCCTCCGCTCTGCTCAGGAACTCAGAAATATGCTGGAACACTCCGGAATAACTGGGAGAGGAGAAGGAAATTTACAGAAATACAGAGTCATCGCAACAGTATTAAAGCGGCTTCATGTGTTCAACCTATAGATTTCCCTCCCATGACTCGTGGGTTGTTTTGCTTTTTTTTTTTAATTGCCAAATATAAAACAACATAAATCATTGCAATCTGTTTTGCAACAAACCAGCATACAGGAATACAGATCCTCCTTGCTTTATAATGGTTCGACTTATGATATTTCGACTGAATTTTAAAATTCCCTTCCCCAGGCTGGCGATATGCTGTACGAAACGTTCTACTGATGCTGGGCGATTGCAGCTTCCACGCTTCCCGCCTCTGTAGCAATCGCAAACATCTCGGAGTACAGTGTTTTTTTTCTGCGTTTGAACAAACCTGTATTTACTTTTCAATTACTGATACTAAGTTACTTGCAGTCATTTTTACTTACTTATTCCGTGACAGTAGTTATTTATTTACAATAGCAGATCCATTTACGATGGGTTTCATTGGCATGTAACCCTATCGTACGTCGAGGAGCACCTGTGTACTATTCAACCGAATGAGTCTATTTTGACCCAAAACACCGTTAAATGCCCCCTCCCACTTACTTGTAAACCACCTGTTCGGTGTGTGTCCATTTGCACTTCTTGCAGGCAGGGGTGTCTGAGCTGGCTGAGTGGCAATAGCAGTTGCAGGCAAGGTCGCTGGGGAACGGGGTGCGGACTCCCTTCAGGAAGGTGTAGTACTCAACCGCTAGGCTGCACTCAAATGCCAGCAGGTGGCGCTCTGTGCAACAGGGTAGGAACAACAACAACAACAA